GTTTTCTCCTTTTCTTCAGAGACAGAGAAGCTGTACTCTTAAAATTGGACTTCAGCCATGCTTTAAACTCAGCTTGCATATCACTGCAACAAGAGGCCAAAGATTCCCATGCTGCTACACAGGCAAACGGGAGAGAGCACAGGTCGGAAGCCTCCATGTGCCTTGGCTAAGATGACTGGACATCTGGAGAAAAGAGCGCTGGATCCCAGTTCAGCCCTCCGCCCTCCAAAGGCCTCTGTAGCTTTGACACCCACAGAGGCCTTCTCAGTTTCATCCTTTCTCTGACCTCCTCATCCAGTCCTCCTGGCTTCACTTCCTAGTCTTTTTTCCAACTTGTACACTTGTCTGCATTTGTACTGCTGCAGCCCGGGGTCAGCATCATTAATTCTCTCAGATGATGGAACGGCCTCTCCTTCTGCGTTCCTGCCGTGAAAACGTTGCCTTTACATAGCAGCCAAGACTGTTCTTCATCTACAACAAACACTGAATTATGTCATGGCCCTGCTTAAGGTCTTCCAATGTCTACTCATTTTTCTTAGGCTAGAGTCTTAGCTTTTTCTTTGGCTTTAAAGGCCTTATGCGGTCTCGCCCTTTCCCATCTCCCCACCCCTCTCTCTTTTGTCCTCTACTCAAGAGCTACAGCTTCCTAAACTGAAGTTTTTCCTGTTCCCAGCTCTCTGTGCACCTGCTTGTAACTACTTCCTAAGCACATACATACGCATGGTATACCTTGACTCTCCCTTTTTCAAGACTTGGCTTAAAACCCACTTTCTTATGGGAAACTCACAGAATATCCTTATCCAATGAGTTCCTCCTGCAATCTGTATCTTCCTGGTGTCTACCTAAGCAATGATGAAAAGTCATAAGATGACTGCTAATGTGTTTAATCATTTGTGTTCTATTTTCCTTAGTTACATGATCAGATTCACAGGGGATCATCACATTTAATTTATTCATCATTATTACCCTTGCAGGTAACCAAGAACTTAACTATTTGATGAATAAGTAAATGTGAGTTTGAATGAATGAATGAATGAATGAATGAATGAATGAATGAATGCCTTAATATCTAACAGTACAGGGTACAGCTACATTAGCCCAATATCTATAGGAGATCTAAGCCAAACAGAAGCACTAGTAACTATTCCATAGAAGAGGCAGGAGGGAAAACCCCAGACGAAGAGGAAGGGCAAGACACTTCTTGCAAGGCTTGTTTCCAGCCACTTCATTTTTCCAACTCCAGGTCAAGCACAGGTCTGCTGTATGCAAAGAGAAGCAAGGACTATACAAACTGCACTCCAGCAGTTTCTCCTAGTCTTCTATCTTCCCTAGGGCTAGATGAGCTGGGAGTTCCACTGGCCTTTCCAGCACTGCATCCGTGTGTAAAACCCTCTGCCTATGTTTGAATGTTTCATCTGTGGATCATGTCACACAGCTCCAATTCTTCATTTGTATCAGGGTATATGTACTAGCATCATGATCCCACACCAGATCCTGCATCCGCACTTGTATCAATCAGATCATAAATTCACATATACTTTCAACAGAGAAAGGTATCCCTAAGGTATGATTTGAGAAATAAAAGTGGTGTTCAATGCCTGCTCGATTATAAGATAACAAGAGCACCTCAAAGCAAATGTGGTACTAGGTCTCAGGGAACCTTAACTTAGTCTCCTACTGTCCCCTCTCCTTGAGTGTTCACAGACAAAGAGTACTACTTAAGACCCTAAAAAAAGCACCCTTATCAATGGAGATGAAAAGTTATTTATTGATCCCTAAGACCGACACAGCCAGGGGTTTTCCCTAAGGAAAGCAATGTAGAGTGGAACAGCTGCCTTTTCTGGTTTCGTGAAATGGGAAGATGATAGAGTTCAGGCTCCTTGCACACATTTGCACACTTAAAAGTACATGTGTTGAGGGGGATAGTCCAAGGACAATTATTGCAAACACACACCATAGGAATGCCCATAAGGGCAACTTGCTGGAAAGGCATCGCTAAGGTAGATCCTAGGCATCAGGAAACAGGGATGCTCTACCAACTGGTGTGAGGGAAGGAGAGCAAGGGAGTACAGAGCTGCAGCCCAGAGGGCAGAAATACATGCTGCGTACAAGCTGCCCTGACTATGGAGTCTGTGGGTTTCACTACAAAATGAAAACATAGAATCCCCTCACTGAGAAATCTTAAGCATTTCACAGTGCTGACTTCAGACCTTTAAACTAAGAGTGGATCCACCCCTTCAAAGTACAAGACCACAACCTGATAAAACCAAGCCTGACCACAAGGATTAAAGGTGGAGCAAGGTTAATTCTAGGGACCGTTGAAACTCCTTAGAAAAGCAAACTTTCCCAGTACACTTTGCTCTCATAAAATACCACTCTTGGATGATCACGGAACACAAATAAATCAGGCCTGGGCCTCCCATTCAGAAGTGGCGATAGAGGGAGGAGCTGGTGGGCTGTTATGCTAATTCCAACTTGTTATAAATTTTAGAACAATTTGGTGTAAATTATGATTCATTTCAGCACCAGGACTCCAGTTTGAAGCAAAGCCCTCCAATACTGCTATAAGCATATACCGGATGCCTACACAAAGAGCATGATGTAATGTTTCTTCTATAAGGGTTATAAATCAATACATTCAAAACAGTTAGTTTTTAAATGCATCGTTATTATTCATCTTTAGTTATAAATTTAATGTCTCTTTAGACCCGAGAGATGGTAATACAACTAGAAACATGTTATGGTTGTTCAAAAATAGAAGATTCCCCCAGCATCTCATTATTTCAACTCTTAAAGATTTAACCTTAAAAGCCTGATGGTATCTGAGCACACTTGTTTAAAGGTGCCTTACAGAAAGAAAGCAGTTTTCCCCAGAAGTCTATAAAATGTATTATAACATATTGAAGTAGAATAATATAGCCACTAATTTTCTAAAGACAGTTGTTTTCTGGGATGCATAGTGTTTGGGTTTGGGGACTTGAAAGAGCAGTAAGCGACAGGGACTTAACACTGTTCTCTACATTGCTTTGAGCGAATCAAGGTGTTTTATGGATCTCAGACCTGGTTTTGTTCTGAGAGGGACAGAGAAGCAGCAGGACAAATGTTCTGACTCCTGTGTAGACAACCATCATTTCAGAAGAGATATAAATACAGCCTAGCACCCTAACATTTGCTGATTGTAAAAAGAACACGTCACAGAAGAGCCCCAAGCACCAGGCACATTAAGATCATCCCCCAATCTGTGGAGCTGTCCTTTGCATACGCATCCTTGATATGTGTGATGGTAAATGTCTCATGCTTGCTTTTCAATGTTAGAAACCTGTTTCATTTAATATTGTTCTAGGTAAATATACCTGCTTTCCTATATCATGTCTTTCCAATGCTGTTTCTCTTTACATCTTCCCTGGACAGGCCTTTAAGGTTTTGACTCTTGCTGTTGGTGACATCTTGGTGTCACTATCTCTTCACATGAACAAACTTTCCTTCTGATCCCCTCAGCATCTAGAGTGTTCTTACCAACACTGGCTTCCCATTCACTCAGGAAGAAGAAGAGATGAGGGTTCTGAACTATAGGCTTTACTGGCATGGCATGGCTCTATGGGTGACATCTTTACTATGCCTACAGATTTCCTATGCCCAAACTAGTTCTTGTTATTTTCCTGCCACCGGAACAATCAAAGACAAGTGGCACATCCATATAACTTACAGCAGGTTAAACAAAGAAGTGAAACATGGTAGTAAATCTGGTACCCAAGGGTAAACCATACCAGTTTGGGGTTAAATTTTCATGAACTTCACTGCTATACTACAGGAAGACAGGCTTTGAGAAAATACATCTTGTTATTCAGAGTTGTCTCAATGTTGGTTTGCCGGCACTATGATATTTCATGTTTATCCCAGAACAAAGACCTGCATATGAATTTTTTCTGACCAGAAAAAATTACCCTAGCACAAAGTCTACCACATCCCTTGTTCTGAACAAAATGACATATGTAATGTCATCAAGTTCAATGGCATACCCATGTCATCCTATGAACATTCAACTCCAGGGAGTTCTGACTCGGTGGTAAACGTTCATGGTGTATTGGAGAACAATTCCCAGCAGCCAGAGCTCAGTATTCCATTCCTAACTGTGCGGTATGTGTGTGCGGTACACACACCCCTACTCAATTACAGTACAGAAAACAAAGCAAAGTACAATAAAAGGAGACTTCTTCACTGCTAAGATCAGCTTTTCAAAAAAGCAAAAGCCTCCTATAAAATGTGATGCACATCATTAATAATGCAAATCCTTTTAGAAGCACAAGTTTTAATAAAAGCCACAGATTAAATACCACTAAGGCTCCTATAGTGACACATCCATTCTAACTGCCTGGAAGAGTTACAGTTACCCATTCACCACGATTATGCCTTGATCCTCATGTCTTCTTCAGAACTGCCACAGAAGAGACAATACAATCCATTCAACAGGCTTCTTAGAGATGACAATTTCAGCTCCATGAAGATACATGCTTTTATTGTCCTTATTCCTTGCCAAACATTTGACACGACCGGAAGGACCCGAGAGTCACACCATACTGGTATATCTGGTAAAGCAAGCAGTCGGCTGCAAACTGTGACTGGAGAATTGCATCAACTTTTTGAGTCTCCAATCATGCCTTAGGAGAGTGTATACCAATCCTAAGGGCACAGTTTACATTTGAAATGATATAGAAACATTTGGATCGTGCTAAACCCAGCCCCAACAAGGCAGAGTAACAATGTGGTGGTATGGAGGGGTGGGGAGGCAAGGTGGATGGACTGGGTTCTTGGGAATGGTCAGAGCACGCGGCCATTCTGCGTTCATGGAACACAGTAGCAAGCACAGGACACAGTCACAAACATCAGCAAGCACAGTTGAGCACGCACACAATACAACACTAGAATGCAATCTTTTTTGTTTCTTTTTTTGTTTGTTTTTTGTTTTTAAAAGAGAAATGATAGAAAAGATGGTTTCTCACCCCTCAAAACAAAACTGGAACTTTGGTTTACAGGCCCGGCTATGCCCATATGCCCTCCTCGTCATCCTGCGGCCGGCCCGAGGTGGGGAGGAGCACAGAGAGGAGGAGCGCCAGAATGAAAGAAGAGAAGGTTAGTTACACCAACATGTACTGAAAGGCACATGAATCTGCACTTTCTGTTTCATCTTAAAGAGCAAGAAAAAAAAAACCCATAGTAACTTAAGTTCCACATCACTGGCTTGTCAAATGCATAACCAACTTTGTATCTATGGCAACCCCACACAAAAACATTCCACCCTCTCAAGCTGTGACTCTGTCAAGATTGGATTAGAAGATTAAAATTAGTCTACATTAGCAGATGATTATTTTTTTGGAAAGCATGCAATCTGAATTGCATATGCCTAAGGAGTGGATTAAGCCTTTAAAGTAAGCAGAGAAGTAATTATAGTAATCAAATACCCTTAATTTCTCTTAAGCTTAAAGTATCAATAAAAGTTGAAGGAGAATTAAAAAAAACCTATTTGCTTGGGTGGAATACACTCTTTAGCAGGTAGTAACTCACATTGGTTATTTTATAATGTTTCCAGCACTCTACAGTCTTAATTGTCAGGCTCTGTTTGGTGCTTGGCATATAGAAAGGTGTAAACATGTTGAACAATTGATTTTCCAAAAATCCGTTTTTTATAAAAAGTATAAACTTTCATTTCTGAGAAATGCCTGCAGAAAGGATGTTGTTTAATCTAACACTGTGTTCAGCTATGGGTAGACAGAAAATAATTTGGCTTGTATTCTGGTTGAAAATGTTTTTGAAATAGCTCTGGCCAATTTCTTCTCATACAGAAGTAGCCAATAAAGTAGGGAAACCAAATTCTTGAAGATAATAGTATATGCTTTATGTCAAAGTCTCATCTGTGAACAAGTCTCCCTGTCACAGGGTATATATGAACAAGCAGGTAAGGCAGAGTGGTCCACATGCTGTTTCCCACATCATCTGAGAGCAGGATACTTTTAACAATACCCTAAAGACAACAGAGTTTGTCAGAATTTGGGTTTTGTTGTTGTTATTCTTTTTTTTGTTTATTTGTTTTGTTTTATTTTGAAAGCTAGAAAGAGAAAAGTGACTTGGAATGTTCCTTCATACTTGGGGCTGTACTATTGCAGGTTTTGGCTGAAGTAGTAGGTTGAATCATATGGAGATGCCACTATCCTAGACCTCCAAGACCAGGAATTTCATACAATTCAGTATGTGGTTTCATATACATCAGTAAGCCAAGATAATTTTTTATCTACTTGAGGATTTAGACTCGTAGTCTTTGAACTGATTCCCAATAAAGCTTTTTTCTCCTTTGTTTCTCTTATGCATTTAAAATATTATCTTGAGAAAAGGTCCAGAGACTTCAGACTGCCAAAAAAAAAAAAAAAGAGAAAGAAAAAGAAAAGAAAGAAAAAAGAAAATGTTTCACAAAACTTGAGAATCCCCCATGGGTCCTGAGTCAATCAGGGGAGTTTAAACAGGATAAGTCAGTATGAATCTTCACTTGAGAGTTTCGATAGGAATATCCTGGCAGAAAACAAGTGCAGTCATCGATCTGGGGGACCATATGTAGTTACTAGCCAGTATTCTGGCAACATACTTCTTTATCCCTCCAGGACTGAGGAGAGTATATTGTCACACTCACTGAATTTCCTCTCTATCTCTGGAGAAAAGCAAACTTGATGTTCCTTTCACGCTAATAAAGAGGAAAACTTTCCAGCAGGATACCCCAGGGCAGTATTAAGTAAGCTTGAGGACCTAGCAACCTGTACAACTCAATGCAGAATTTTTCAGTGGGTGTGTGTGTAAACATATTCTCTGGATATGTTTACATATTCTCTGACTTTCATCATAAGGTTCTTGATCCCCAAAGTCACTTCTGTAAGAAAACTCCCAGGCATGGAAAGATGCTACAATTTGCCAGTTACAAAACAAAATTGGCGGTTTTCTGTAAAATGCAGCCCACAGCCCCTGCTGACCGCTTCCTAAATGGCTGTCAAATAACTTTGCTTGCAGAGCAATGAATTTCATTTTGCATTTAAAACCCAACAGCACATTTACATGGAGTTTGCTCCAAGTCCATTCGGATAGGATTTCAATTTCAAAAGAAAAAAAAAAGAAAAAGAAAGCCAATGCCACCAAAATCTGCCCCTGCTTTCCTAACAGTGAAGTGTGGTCCAATGCAAATCACTTTTAGCAAATTAAATACATTAAAGAGTGGTAATTAATTATGATTGAAACAGACAGGAGCTGTAGCTTGAAAATATACACTGCCAATATCACTACTGTTCCTCGTCCACCATAGGAATAAGAAGGAGCTCCCAGATGTCGAGAGTTATTAAAAACCAGATGTTGAGATCCATGTCTTGTACGCTAGTGGATAAAGTAAAGAAATATGACAGCCCAATATAAACTCAGCGAACATTTAACATGGTAGAAATGTGGACAAATTCCTCTTATGAACTGAGAATATTATGTATTTTAAAATAGTTCATTTTCAATGTTGAACAAAGTTTTAGAAGAAAATAGAAAGGTAAATGGTGGCCATTGCTTGTCTTTCTTGTCTTCAAACATAAACATGAACTGACCCTCATCACTAAGTGCTTTGGGTCAGAGTGAGTGTCCACTTGAGGAATACAAAACAAAGATGCAGGCGCTAATCCGAGAGGCAGCTCCATGTCTTCCAAACATTTGCAGCTGGCTGACTGCTCCCTGCTTGCCTCTCTTTATGCAAATATTAAGCTCTTCAGACACCTTACCAGACAGAAATGTAAATCCGAGGATCAGAAAAAAACAAGAACAAACATCAACAAAACCTATAAGGATGCTTGATCCCTAACTTGCTACCGCATCATTTAGGGATGCTTGGAGTTTTAAAATGCATCTACTGAGCCTGCTTCCTCTTCTGGTAATTCTGTTTCCAGATCTACTTTGCAGTGGCTTTTCTAGATGATGACTGGTGTTTGATCCCTGGTGTGTCCTCTGTGAGCAATTGCTCTGACGGAAGTTGCCAAAATAGCTGGATGGGAAGAGACCGCTCTGGTCCATCAGGCATCTGTTTGCTTTTGTCTACAGCATCTGAAGCTGGGAACATGCTCTGTGGATTGAAGCCCAGAGAAGAGAGACCACAAAACAGCCAGTTCTGAGGTTAGGGGAGGCTTGAATGTCAAACAACCCCAGGATGCATCTACAGCTTCAAGGACAATGTGACAGACAAGAGGCCTGGATAGAAACCCTACAATCCAGATGCCCAGCTCTAATGGGATTCTCTAAATACTGAGATAAAACAAATTCCTGCCTAGATGGGCTGCTCACTGTGGGTTTGTTGATGACAAGATCTAGAAGCAGAAGAACTCAGTCATTGTTGACAAGTCAAAGGCTTGCTGTTGTGTATGAGTGAGTATGTGGGTGAATTTATTAGCTCATCAAGAAAGGTCTGAACAGGAACCTGATAGCCTGGCATGATAACCCTGGCTAAGCCTTTAATTGCTCTCTACCTTTTAATGTTAGGTACAGAAGGTAGGCAAAACCAGGCCTATTCCTGGGCATATTTTCTAAAACATCTGTAGTCCTTCTTGGGTTATTAGATTGGTTTCTTTTCTTAAAACTAGAGGATTAAGTTCCTAATGAACACTTTATTGTCACACTTATCTTAACCAGAAAAGGGGGTGGAATCCAGGGAGTTTCAATGAGTAGCTCATGGTGTTTGTGGGAATTTAACTACTATCTGTAAGGAAGTTAGCCTGGCCTCCTGTTCAGATCTTACTGTGTGGGATCAGGTCAGTGTGAACCATTTCAAGACTTTCCCTGACCTCTACTTTTGATCATAAGGTTCTCTGAAACTTCAAGTCACAAAAGTAGGGCTACAGTGTGGGGCTCATAACAAGTACTGAGCCTAGGTTCCTAAAAATTATATCCTCTTGATATTCCTCCCTGCAGGGTGCATGAAGGCAAACAGGTCTGCAGAAAGCCTGTTTAAGTCCAAATATTCCCTCAAAAGACTGCTTAGTCTTTTATCTGTCCTGTCCAGGGATGCCCATGGATCAGATCTTTACCTAGGTGACTGAGTCAGGAATGGCTGTGATCTCATACATCACCTGCAGGCCCCACTGGCAGATATGTTCCCCAAAGGCTAAGAAAGCTTCAGCCAGGCTCACATACATGTTCTTGCTTTGTAGGTATAAATGCTTGCTCATTCCTGAGCTGTTTCAAAGCTATCAGTGCCTCCTCTAGGCCAGAGAGAGTGACAACAGCCTTCTATTTTTCTCTACCAAGTTTCAAGATGGGTGCCAGACACAGGTGTCAGGTAGCTTTTTGTACAGGTATAAGAAGTTGAGCCAAGAGGAAGATGAGGCAAACCACCAAAGAATACCTGGCAGGGTGCTATGAAGCCAAGGTAAAATTCTAGACTGTTCAAGTGTAAAAGTGTCCTGTTCTGATTCTGCCAGGGCTAAACCCTCGAGAGCCCATTTAGATCTCCCTTGGTACTGTGGGTTGACTCTGTGTAGCTCAGCTCTGAAGAACTCTGGAATGTGCACTGCCCTCCTCCCCAGAAGGTGAGGATCCCGGCTGATGTTTGATGCTACAACCTAGGCATGATCCTCTGATTCTTGGAAGAAAAAGGTTCTCACAGGCTGTGGAACTTGTTCACATGGCCTTAACAACAGTACCTCAGCAAAAATTTCAATGTCTCTCTTGGGAAGGACAGTGTCTTCAGTCCCTTTGGCAGGTTCTCAGCCATAGGAGCCAAACAGCTATTGATAAATTAGTAAGGATGCAAGGCTTTGTTCTTGCTTTGTTTGAAATCGAGCCCACTGAGAGAAAATGCTGCCTGGCTTCTAGAGTTGCCCAGGTGAGGATCACTGCCCATGTCTCCACTGAATGTCCTGCCCTCTCCATCTTTGTCTGTTTTGCTCTTCTCACCACACCTAGCCAAGGAGGATGCTTCCCTAGCTGATTGAGAGATGCCTGGTGTGGTCCATGTTTGAGAAGGCACTCTGGGGCACCTCTCAGGTGAGAGGCAGATTGCACA